GATGCAAGTCCTCCTTTAACCCATGAGACACCATGCCTAACAGACTCCGCAGTTGAACATAATTTTGAACCACATTTTGAATCCAGAACCGAATTGCTTTCTGTCCCTAATATAGATTCCTCAATTTCTGCTGCTCCTAATAATATTCAAGTCAGAAAGTCAGAGAGACCAAATAAAGGCAAACCCAAAACTGTTTATGAACCGAACCCGAAAGTAAAAGTGAAGTATCCTATTAGTAATTATGTGTCATCTCATAGGCTGTCTGGATCATATGCTCTAACAAGTGATCAATTATCTACTGTATATATTCCTAATAGTGTGCAGGAAGCTTTAGAAGATCCTAGATGGAAGCAAGCAATGAATACTGAGATGGAAGCACTTCAGCGCAATAAAACTTGGAGATTAACCTTTCTACCGAGTGGGAAGAAGACAATTGGGAGCAAATGGGTATACACCGTGAAGTTAAAAGCATATGGGAGTATTGATAGATACAAGGCAAGGTTTGTAGCAAAGGGATACACACAAAGGTATGGAGTAGATTATCAAGACACGTTTGCTCCTGTGGCTGAACTTAATACAATCAGAATCTTAATATCCATTGCTGCAAATAGAGACTGACCATTGAAACAGTTTGATGTAGAAAACGCTTTTTTGAATGGTGGCTTAGAAGAGGAAGTCTACATGGAGGTTCCACCTGGAGTGAAGCTAACTTCTTCAAAGCAGAATGTAGTTTGAAAACTGGAAAAGGCTCTCTATGGTCTTAAACAATCACCCAGGGCGTGGTTTGGAAGGCTCTCTTTAGCAATGAAGAAGTTTGGTTATAAGAAAGCAACTCAGATCATACATTGTTCATAAAGCATAACAAAGGGAAGGTAACAATACTCATTGTTTATGTAGATGATATGGTACTAACAGGGGATGATGTAGAAGAAATGAAGTCACTTGAGAAGAAATTAGCTGTTGAATTCGAAATGAAGGATCTGGGTTCTCTAAAATATTTTCTTGGAATAGAAATTGCAAGATCTGAACAAGGTATTTTTCTGTCTCAAAGGAAATACATTTTAGATCTTCTATCCGAGACTGGGCTAATGGCTTGCAAGCCTGCTGATACTCCAATGGAAGTGAATCATTCTTTGGGTATTTATCCGGATCAGGTTGAGGTTGATAAGGGCAGATATCAAAGGTTAGTAGGAAAATTAATTTATTTATCACATACTAGACCTGATATTGCATATTCTGTTAGTATGGTTAGTAGATTCATGCACTCTCCTAGTGAAGAACATATGGAAGCAGTAAATCATATTTTGAGGTATCTCAAAGGATCTCGAGGAAAGGTATTTTATTTTCAAAAAATAATAGAGCCTGCATTGAAGGATACACTGACTCAGACTGGGCTGGTGATAAAACCACAAGGCAATCAACTTCAGGGTATTTCACTTTCGTAGAGGGAAATCTGGTTACATGGAGGAGCAAGAAACAAAAGGTAGTGGCAAGATCCAGTGCTGAGGCCGAATTCAGAGGTATAGCCTATGGTGTTTGCGAATTGTTGTGGGTGAGAAACATTCTGGCTGACTTGGGCATTTCATATGATAAACCAATGAGTCTCTTCTGTGATAACAAAGCATCTGTGGAAATAGCACACAATCCAGTTCAACATGATAGGACCAAGCATGTTGAAGTGGATAGACATTTTATTAAGGAAAAGCTTGATAGTCAGATAATTCAGATTCCTCATGTTCAGTCCCAGGAGCAACTTGCTGATGTGTTAACAAAAGCTGTTTCTGGAAAAGTTTTTGAAGAAGTCATTAACAAGTTGGGCATGATAAATATTCATGCACCAACTTGAGGGGGAGTGTTGAAGATAGGAATTAGTTTTGAAATATTGTTGTAATTAGATAGGATTAATTTGTTTAGATTATTCAGATTTGCAAAGTTGTTAGCTATTATTAGGTAGAAGTTGTTATTGATAGTTGTATAAATATACCTTAACTAAAGAGATAAAAGTATGAATGAAAGTGGAAACAGTTCCTCAATTTAATTTCTCAACAGAGATTGACCTAAATTCAAAAGGGTGGTAAGAGTTGGGGTTATTCGAATGCGTTTGTGATTTCTCTGATTTTCATTCTTTAGATTATTTATCGATGATATAAATAGCTGATTTGGAACTGTTCATATGTCTCTAAGAAAAATTGTTCTGTAACATAAGTAAACATAAGCTCTATGATTATTATAGAAACTAAGAAGGGGAGAAAGGAAGTGGGCGATGGAAGACGAAAATGAGAAACTCCATAAGAGAGAGATGCTTAAAAAGAGAGGCAGTATTAGCACAGTGTAGTGGACTTGTACATGAGTATAAAGTTTCTCATGATTTTTACTGAAAAAAAAAAAAAAGTTTTTCATGAAACTAAAGCTAAAGAATGCGTTTCAATAAGCGCAGTACTCAACCAAGGCAAAACGATGTGCTCCATTAAGTAAAACCCATCATAATAAAGGATGAAAAACAAGGAAGCAAAAACTACACCGTTTACAAGAATACAAGCTTCACAATCACAATTACTTTTTCCCATAACCCATAATTGAGCTTTTTAAATTGATATGTAATCGAAATTGTAGATGGTTGATGCCTTTGAACTCTTAACTCTAAAACCCATAAATATATGACGGCATGACATGGGAATGGGATTACCCAACGGCAGGCAGGCAGGCCACTCTTTAAAGAAACCAAATCATTTTACCAATTCGATTCGGTTTGGATTAAAAACCGAATTAAACATAATTATGTTCATTTTTAGAAATATTAAAAAACCAAATAAATTGAATTAAATTGCGAATCAAACTACACCGTATCATATTTTTTTCGGACTGATTTAAGAACTCAATGATGTTCTTTAAATGGATTCAAAGAATCAAACAACATTACAAAAGTCAAAATCAGTTAAATTCTGATGAAATGAACTTCTTTTCTAATTTGATTCCGTTGGGGGAAAAAAAAAAACCAAACCGTAAATTCATCGAGGTTTATCCTTCTATACCAATTTTCAAGAGTTGAGCTATATAAATTTCTTTGCCCGTGGCCATTCTAAATAATGCATACTTATATGGACAATGATTGGTCCGGCCATGGATATGGAGTTACTATTTTAAAATCTCTACCCATTTCTTGCTACACCTGTGGTCCAACCATCTCTTATGCCATTGCAATTTGCAGAAAACCAACCTTCAACTATCATAAATACGGTATATTGTGCCCTTCACTTCTGTTGGGTGAATAGAGTTTATTTCCTTTCATTTGCTTTCCATTTTAATTTTTTATAACTATTTCAACAAGGGCATGCATTAATATTTTTGGTTATGTGCCTATTCCGCACTCTTCCTTCTCATGGCTCGTCAAATTATATAAGTATATACCACTCCCGTGTGGCTTTGATTAACTGAACTGTTCAAAGCAAGGCGGAACAGGAAAAAGAAACAAAATAAAAATGAAGTAGAAGGGTTATAGAGTCCGTTTCGATGAGTTTTTTTTTCTTCAAAAGCTACTTTTTTTAAGAAAAAAAAAAAGTACTTCTCGAAAAAAGTCTGTTTAGATGTAAGCTTTTAAAAAAAGCAGAAGTCATAAAAAAAGTCAAAAATCTACTTTTTTAGAAGCTAAAAATTTTAACTATTAAAAACAAGTAGAAGTCAAAAGCCAAATATTTTTTTCAAAAAAATATTTTTTTAAAAATCTAAATAGCTGTAACTTTTATAGAAAGTACTTTTAAAATAAGGAAGTGATAAAAAAGACTTTCTTAAAAAGTCAATACAAACGCACCCATAGAAATGGCCACCAATGGGGACAGTGATATCAAAAGCCAAATGAAGACGGAAGGCACCGATTGGGTCTATTTTTGGTTCTTGTCAAGATCATATATTGGGTATATAAAAGGAACAGTTACCAACTTGTGCTGTGTCTACGCAAGAGAACATGAAGTCATGAATGGGATAAGGGAGGAGAAAGCGAAGCACTCATCCATGGTAAATGAAAAAAAAAGTCAGTTTTTCGAAATCTTAAAATAAGTTTGTAAAAAGGAAGAGATTAAGTTTACAATTTTTTTTTGTTTAGAACTCTTGTAACTTCGTAAAAATGTTTGAAGTTACAAGAGTTGTAAATAAAAAAAGTTGTAAAAGTAATTATCTCTTTGTAAAAATGTCAAAAATAGAATATATTTGAAATTGGTGTCTACACTTAAGAGCCGATAAAACGGGTTCGACTCGGCGGGTCAACCCGCCCAACCCGCCAAACAGGGCGGGACGGGCTCATTTTTTGACAGGTTGATAACGGGCATAGGCGGGCCGAGGCGAGTCAGTATAAAATAAGCTCGAGCTGACAGGCCAACCCGCTCATTTTCAAAAACAGAGCGGAGCAGGCGGGCTCATTTTTGACGAGTTGATAGCAGAGCGGAACGGGCCGCCCACTTTGCCAACCCTATCTACACTCTACACCCCTGCTGGCCACGCTCCGTCGCTTTCGTATTAAAATTCTGTGTCCCGATATCATATGTAACATCTGTCAATTTCCCAACATTGAGACAAAAGCAGGCGGTGGTAACTTCCGTATTAAATTCTCCAGCTCGATCGGGGATGATTTTCTCCCTTCTTTCTTTGTGATTGTGATGAATAATATTATACAAACAAATTTAAAAATAAAACTGGGGAGCACAATACAATTATACAAATACTCGGGTCTGTCCATTGAAAAACACAAGATTTTGATGGTTTACAATTAGGTATATGTATGTTTTTGAGGTACCGACACAGATGGACGCAGAATAAGAAATCTTAGGAGGCGTGTAACATGGCCACGTTGAAGTCCCATTTCCCAATTTGAAACTTGGAAGCCTCGTAGTCATGGTCATAGTCATGTAACCGTGACCCCCATTTGACTTGTTGCGAATTGGCAATTTAAATTTGAAAGAAATATTTTTATTTTTGTGGACACATTTATTAATAGAGGTTATATCATATATGACATAGAGAGTTGTTTCCTTCCCACTCTATCTCGAATTAAAGAGGGGCGGTGGGGAATGGTGATGGATGAGATTGAGATTGAGAGTGAGAGTGGCGATGAGCCTCTGACGCCGGCGGGGAGGCTGTTCCTGCAGCCAGAAATGAACCAAATAATACACTGCGTAATAGGGATGAAGAACCCTCCGGACATCGAGTCAATCAAATCAGAAATCAAGAACTCAAGTATGCTAAAACATCCAAGGTTCACAAGTCTCATGGTACGCGACCATCGAGGCGTTGAGCACTGGAGACCCATCAAGATCGACATCGACCACCACCTCCGTATCATCAAACAACCACTCTCCGACGTCGACGATGAATCCGCCATCAACGACTACTTGGCCGATTTATCAACAACAGATACTTGCTCTGGTCTTGGCCTTGGCCTTAGCATGGATAAGCCCTTGTGGGAAATCCATATTCTGATTGCCCACAAGTGCGTCATCTTTCGAATCCACCATTCCCTCGGTGATGGGATTTCCTTGATGTCCATGCTCCTCGCCAGCTGCAGGAAGGTCAACGATCCAGAGGCCTTGCCCTCCATACCTGTGACGACTGGGACTCGGATTCCGAGGAATTTTTGGAATTTTCTCGTTACGGTGTGGTTCTGTTTGATCTTTGCCATCGAGCTTATCCTGAGGTGTTTGTGGATTCGTGACCGCAAATCGCCCATGACCGGCGGCGCTGGTGTTGAGCTCTGGCCCAGGAAGATGGCTACTGCCACCTTTTCCTTGGAACACATGAAGACCGTCAAGAGGGCTGTTCATAACGCGGTAAAATCTCTTTTTCTTATCTCACTTCAATTCAAATCAAAATTACCCATTCTAAAATAATGAAGTCCCTGCTAAATTTCCATTTCTACTTGTATCTAAATTATTCTTTGAAAGCATTCTTGTTCTATTGCTACAAATATAAATTATGCTTGCAACTTGGACCCCATCTCATCTCATGATGTCTCTGTTTCCTAATTTTCACTTTCCCCCATTTAAACCGACCAATAATGACATGCACTTTTAACTTCAAATTCAAACAATTTTTAGCACAAGTTACAAGGATATAAGATTACCTTTGGTTTTATTACCCCACCCACCCCACAAACACACACAACCATTTTAGACATGACGACTGTCGTACTTTTGTATAAAATAAAATAAGGAGATTGAGACAAATATAAAAATGGAGAGAATATAAAATATTTACAGATAAATGTTTTATTTTAATTTTCTATTTATTCTCGTGGCTCCATGTTGGTTGTAAAATTATTTGAGAATATGATATCATGCCTATTTTTACTTATTCTCTTTTAACACATCACAATCTCAGGAGAACAGAGAAATTATAAAGGTGAATTGAAATTATAATATAATGATGTTAAAGAGAAATAGATATAATAGGTATAATAAAAAAAAATTATAGACTTTTTTTGTATAATGATGTTAAATGAAGACTTTTTTTGTATATTTTATAGACAAAAGGCAAAGATTTAAAAAAAAAATACTTCAGTTTTTTTTAAGATTTTATTTTGATTCACAAATGGTGGAAACTCTCAGAGATGTCAATTATTCTACAGACCCCAAACAACCTGCATGATAATAGCAAAATAAATGTGAAGGTTTTCTTTACTGTGTTTGAGTTTGAATTGACCTTGAATTCCGTTAATGGGCGCCTATAAAGCAGTGTTTATGCAATAAAATATGGTTAGTACATAATCCAAATAGCGGGAAAAAATTAGACTACAACCTTTCTTTTAACATTTGAGCAGGGACTTGTGCAATAATTACGTAAATATCACGAGTGTGTATTTATGAGTTCTCTTTTAATTACCTTTCTTTTCTTTTCACTGTATATATTTATTTGTTTGGACAAAGGTTGGGATGGAAACGGAGCTAAATGGGATACAATCTGTGTTTCATTACATTTTACATATGAAATAGGACTTCCCAATTGACATATTTTGATCCAACTCGATAGTTGTCATTCTATGAATTATCTTTTCACCCAATTAATTCGTAGGTCTTGCTATAATGTCCTTGGTGTTATTGTCCTCAACATTTGATTGGGATGATAATATATTAATCGAAGACAAGATACAACCTTGTGTTGGAAAGGGTTGAAATACAGTGTGGCCTTAATATTTATTGTAATGTGACGTTTATGCTAGAACTTTCAGTTAAATACAGCAAGGACAAAAGTTGATTAGATATTCTCTTGAGATTGAACGCATCCCTTTTTTCTTCAATGGCTTGCAAACAGGGTAACTCGTAACATGCGATGCCGTGTTTATGCATGGAGCTGTTTGTCAAATATTATGCATAAACCACAGTGAAATGTGAACATACAGATATAAATTTTGAGTACTTTTTTTTTTTTGCTATTCTGCAGACCGTAAATGACGTTCTGTTTGCAGTTATATCATCTGGGATATCAAGATACCTGGACTTCCGAGCACCTAATGGTAAAAGTCATTTGTATATAAACCACAATTTTCCAATGTACACTGCTTCTTTTTCTATTTTTTACACCAAGGCGTGCATGTACACACGGAAAATCGCAACCATGACTAAATAAATATTTTTTCTTGTAAGAGCTGCGAAACGGTGCTCAGTTAACAGGGATAGCTATGGTTAATTTAAGAAAGCAGCCAGGATTGCAGGTCTACCCTACCCAAATTTACTTTCCTTGTCTACCTGTTTTGTACAATTTTTATTTATGGTTCAAGTTATGCTTAGAATATAAAATTGAGTTTGGATAAAAATTGACTATTGCTGTTCAGGAAATATCCAATTTGATGACAAGCAATTCAGGAGCAAGGTGGGGTAACAAATTTGGTATGATTCTCCTGCCTATATATTATCACAGAAGCGATAGTTCAGATTCTCTAGAATATTTGAAGAGAACTAAAGCAATGATTGACAGAAAGAAACAATCTTTGGAGGCCCATTTCTCATACAAAGTTGGAGATTTCGTAATGTCAACTCTTGGTCCAAAGGTGCATTTTCTCCCCTTCTTTTTATACCTCTTTAAACTCGTCGTCATCTAGGTAAAGTAGAATATTTCAACTATCATTAGTATCTTGCAAACACAAAGCTATTGTTTCTAAGTTGCAGTTTGCTAGCTTGCTGAACTACCGGATACTCTGTAACACTACCTTTACAATCTCAAATGTGATTGGCCCACAAGAGGAGATTATGATTGGAGGCAATCCAATAACGTTCTTAAGGGCAAATAATTCTGCCTTGCCTCATGTACAGCCCCTAAACTCTGTTTTTCCTCATAGCATTAAGCATTTATAACTTTGATATATAATAGTATGTGCATGTAATTAATGTTGAGTGTGGGTGGTTGGTATTGATAATGCAGGCACTCATTTTGAATATGGTGAGCTATGCTGGAAGGGCAGACATGCAAGTTCAGGTGGCCAAGGACATCATTCCCGATCCTGAGTTTCTTGCGAAGTGCTTTGAAGATGCATTGCTTGAAATGAAGGAGCAAGTTACAGCAAAACTCTGACATTTGGAGATATTTTTTTGGTGAATGTTGAAATACATATGATCACCGGCAAAGAATCCCTTACATTATGATAATGTTAAGCATTAAATGTTTACTTTCTCAAATGTTATAAAGGGACTGATTTGTGATCCATCCATCTCACTCTTTGCGTTGATAGCTTATATGACCTATAAAAGAAATTTACGCACAAGTTCAATGGATTTGTAGTCTAGTGTATGTCAGTCTTACATTTAGCTCATCTAATGATTGTAGTGACTACTGACTAGTGTGCCATGATGCTAGTCGTTTGTGCTTATTCAATGGTCCTTTAACAACAATCATTTACTTCGGTTCTTGAGCATTTAATATTCATGCGGATTGTGTTTTCTTTCAAAGGCCCCTATAAGGTTTTTTTTTTTTTTTTAAATTAAATTTTTTTTTTGTAAAATGTTAGTAAAGATAGAGTAATCCTGAGATTTCAAATGAGTAAACTAAACTCATCTAAGGACTTTTTTCTTAAAAAGTTACTCGTCTAGCCTATATACGTCAGCACATCTCCTTAGGAGACAACTTGCTTTGGCAAGACTCCTTTTAAGTTGCGTCTGAGGTATATTGAAGGACAGTATAAATAATAGAACAATATAATATTGGGGAAGGTTATAGTTACTACCTCTTATTGTTACTACTAAATCGTAATCGTTGATTTCTGTATAAATAATAGAACAATATAATATTGGGGAAGGTTATAGTTACTACCTCTTATTGTTACTACTAAATCGTAATCGTTGATTTCTGTCAATCTAACGGTCATAATATATTGAAAATTAATAATTAATTAATAAGTATGACCCAATAAATTATAACCGTTAGATTGACGGAAATCAACGGTTACGATTTAGTAGTAACAAGTAGTAACAATAAGAGGTAGTAACTATAACCTCTCCCTATAATACTATGGCTGAGTCTTAAAACAATGTGGTAAATAAAAAATAGGGGAATATTAATCTCATGTTACATGAGATTAGTTCTCTCGTGCTATAGAGAGAATCCAAGTGGGGTCCATCATTAAAAAGCAAAAAAGAAAAAGAAAAAAGTGGAGGTGCAATTTTCGAAGTGAGATAAAATGAGAGTAATATTTCCTTAAAAATTATTAACCAGCCTTCACTTATAATTTTAAATTAATTTTTAGTTTAAATTTATTTTTTATATAATATTAGAGCCCACATAACTAAATGGTTATGAGTTTGATTCTCACCGCCTTATTTTATTAATAAAAAATTAAATATTATAAAAAAAAATTAGCACAAGTAATCTGAAGTTGATGCAATATTCACCCATCAAATTTAATGAACTCTCGTATAAAAAAAGTATTAAAAAAATATAAAATTATTAATTTAGTCTCATTAAAAAACTTCAACTTGTAAGTGAGGGTCCATCATATTTTTAATATTATAACTCATGTTTTGTATAAGGGAAAAATATGTGTCATTTTAAAGGATGTAAAGTTATGTCATTTTAAAAGAGAGAAAGAGGTAAATAAAAGAGGAGAGAGAGTTGACAAAAAATAAAATAAAAAAGTGGGTTCCACCTCTATGTGAAAGTGAAAAGATATAAATTATATAATTTAAAAAGATAAACATTTTTAACTTTCTATAATTAACTGTTTGACTACCAACGCACAATTTCAGATAAAAGATACACATTTACCTCGGGGTATTTGAATGAGTGCCTTCTTCAAAAGGTACGGCTTTGAGCATCGGTACGAAGCTCCCTTAGTGATAATAGTAGTATTGAGTATTTAATTTACGAGGAAGGTTATAATTATAATTTTTTTTTTATAATTTCTTATAATCATATTTTAATATTGTTGATTTTTGTCAATCAACGGTTATCATTTATTATGAATTAATAATTAATTAATGAGTTTAATTTACGAAAATCATAACCGTTGATTGACGACAGTGTTAAGATATGGTTGTAAGAGATTGTAAAAAAAAATTATAAGTATAACATTCCTCTTAATTTATATATATTATTTATTTAGGCTCCGCCATTTCTTTTTCAGCCTTTGAGTAGTGGAAATTTTGGATAGCTTAATAAGACATCACGAACAATGACACAATTGTGATTGTCATCTGCACATCGGTTGCAAAGCTTTATTTCGCTAGAAGACATTGAACAATTGACATCCAACAAACCAGTTACGACACTTCTTTCTTATTTATACAGAGCAATACTTTCTTAATACTTTTTTTATAATTGGATCATATTCCATACTTATTTAATAATTAAAAAAACTTCTAAATTGTCATGGACCCACCTAATGGGCCTCACAATTTCTTGAAGACTAGAACCAAAAGATTAAGATAAGTAGAATTCAAAGTAATTTTTTCCTAGAATTAAAAATGGGTTAGAGCCTAGCCTCACGTGCGCGGGTTTTTTTTTCTCTGTTAGGGTTTCTGGGTTTTTTTACTGTTGTTCGATGGAAATTGATGATGGGGAGTGTAACATCCTGTGTATACCCGGTAATGTTATCATACTATCGTATTGAGCTGCGCTTAATTAAAAATGCGGAATATCTTTTTCTTTTCCAATTATGACGTCATTATACTTAGCCAAGTTGATTACTTAATCAATTTCATAAAATATCGTCTGTATGTAAATTGCAATAAGACATCTACTGAAATACCTCAATATATAAATAAAGTGAGTATCTAAATCACAGATCTACATCACGTAGTCCGGACAATATCCTGATACTTTATTACAACTCCAAATCAAACTAAGACATAACTAGTCTATGTGTCATGGACAATCCTCATGCTCACCAAATCAACAGCGTCTCAACAAGATAATCATAAACATTAAAATGAAGCTCAAAGCATAAAAGCAGCATGCATATCCAGCATCCTACAAGTCAACATATAATATCATCAATATCTAACTCAGCTCCGGCCTCCTGCCGCCTGAGGTCTCAACATTACCCAAACCTGAAATAAGCATTCCCCAAACGTGGGGTGAGATCTCTAAACAAGAAATCTCAGTAAGACAAGGGGTCCTCAAGGATCTTCCACCCCTAGCTCACTTACATGTGCAATATAAGTTCTAAAAGCATTTATATCAATATCAGATCCAAAACTATGCAGTGCAACAGATATTCATGCCATGTGTGTTTAACACTATTCTACTAGCCAGAGAAATGCAGGAATACGTCTATTACCTACATATAGTACAAGCCACAAGGAACACCGCTTGCACCTCACCCACAGCCTCACCATATTGTATGTACTACATACTCAGGCTTACCGTATAGGTGGAACACCACATGCATATCCAAAAGACACTGGCATATAACAGATCAATAGCATTTCCAAAACATCAAAAGCATGTAACACAGCATGCATATAACCATACCCCCATGGGACATGGTGGAACCACAACATGGCTAAACCGAGGACACGAAAGCTTACCTTGCAAGCTAACACCTAAAGCCAAGAGTCCACAGCTCAAAGTCCAATCACAACAGATTCACAATCTGTTATGGACCAATAATATATCAATAAACATGCACCGCAAGCATACAATATTAAGACAACACCTTTCCATTACGTTTTACGTCTTAAGGCTTCACACAAACCATAAGCCCTAGTCACATGATTCTGACTTAGTTCATTAATTACAGAAGTTCAACTTCATCAATCCAGGGTCCACAAACCCCCAATAGTCTACTGTACACACAACACAGCTACTGTTCTACGAAACCCCAGAATATCCGGATATTCCTCGGGGATATATCCGAATATCCAATATCCGGATATCTCACTGACAATATCCGAATATCAAATATCCGGATATCTCACTGTCAATATCCGGATATCCAATATCCGGATATCCAGATCCCCAGATCCGGATATCCATATCTGGATATCAATATCCGGATATTTCACGGTCAAATATCTGGATATTTCGCGACAGAATGCAGTTTCTGCATTTTGCGAAGATATCCTTCAAAGGTTGGCTTTTTACTGATTATAGACACTTAAGCATGCATTTCCCAACATTAAGTTATCATCTTTTAACCTTTACATGCAAAGACATCAACTTTAACTCCTTAAACTCATGAAAAAAGGTTGGTGACACTTACCAAAGCCCAAAACAGAGGAAGAATAGCACTTGGAGCTCACAAATCAGATGCTAAGGTGTTGTCCCTCAAAGTGCACGAAAATAGCAACACAAAGGTTGGTCCTTTAACACAAAAGGTCACCACTTTGACCTCCAAAAGCCAAGACAAAGCTCCTCCCAAACTCAAAACTCCCAAGTCAGCTCCCAAACAGCCAAGAACAGTGGCTGGACACCCTTCAAGAGCTACTCCTCACCCTTACCAAACCCAAGCACACTCACTCAAGGTGTTTATGAAGAAGAAACCATGAAGAACAAGGGAGAAATGACTCCAAGACTCTCAAGGAAGAAGAAAACAGCAATGAAATAGTGCCAAGGTGCACTCAGCCGCTCAAGTCACGTAGGAGTAGTGGTTCTAGGGTTTTGTGCCCAATGATTAGAGTATATATAGGCACTTAAGCATTAAACACACAGTATTAACTTTAATTGCTACGCTTAGCATTTTAATCCCAAACTTTGGATTCTTAACCTACTCAATTTTACAAGAATTATCATATTTTTATAATATTTTTCGGAGTACCTTTCCGGTATGCGCTTTTCATAGCCAATATCAGTTTCTGGCACCAGTTCTCATTATTTTGACTTGAAACTCGTTTTACAAGTCCTACATATTATTCTAGTAATTATCATGCACTTACTATAATTTTTTGGGATACTTTTTAGGTACGCATTTATACCGACTAGAACCGGTATCTGCACTTTTCTTCCGAAAAGCGACTTTCAGCATTCTGAATCACTTATCATAATTATTAAAGCCTCTTGTATTCAAAAAAAAAATTAAAGCCTCTTAATAATTATTAGGGTCAATTATGGAATCATTTCCTAATTTAACATAATTAATTACTTAATTTACTTAATTAATGGTGCGGGTTCTTACAAGGAGCTGGGTTCTAAGAAGGCTGATGATGGTTCCAAGTGTGTTAGAGATAGGATCGTGACTGAAGAAGAGTTGTCTCCTCCGATTGGAAAGAAATCGAAAGGGGAGGTTCTAGATGACTCAACGATGGACGAGGAGATGCTTGAGGGTGTTGCTGTGGGCTCAGATGGTCAGTCCTCTACCCGTTTGATTCCTGAGGTGAAGATGAGGGAGGGGGTATAACATCTCGGGCTCTGAAGAGGGCGGGGAGTGATCGCCGGTGCGCAAGGGCACGGACAAGGAGCGACTCTTGGCAGGCTTCTAGGGACGGGAGTACATGACTGAATCGAATCAACACCCGAAAGAGAGGGATTCCAGAGACTGTGCTGGTATGGGACGGTACAGTTGAGAATGGCTTATAAGAATTAATTGGTACTACCTATACTAACAAGATGCATCTACTTTTCGATAGCCCGGATCGGAAGAACTCCACAGTTAAGCGTGCTTGACTTGGAGCAATTCAGGGATGGGTGACCTCCTGGGAAGTTTTCTCGGGAAGTGTGCGAGTGAGGACAAAGCACGCTGAAAAGTTTCGTGTTAGTGTGTGGGGACAGTCGTTGATCCTTGCAAGTTGCCAGGCGTTACAAGTGGTATCAGAGCAGGGCTTCTCATCCAGTACGGTGTGGTTCGAGGACGAACCAGGCGAAAGCTGGTGGGCATGTAACATCCCGGGCGCTGACGAGGGCGGGGAGTGATCGCCGGTGCGCAAGGGCACGGACAAGGAGCGGCTCCTGGCAGGCTTCTAGGGACGGGGGTACATGAATGAATCGAATCAACACCCGAAAGAGAGGGATTCCAGAGATTGTGCTTGTATAGGACGGTACAGTTGGGAATGAGTTATAAGAATTAATTGGTACTACCTATACTAACAAGATGCATCTATTTTTCGGTAGCCCGGATTGGAAGAACTCCACAGGTAAGCGTGCTTGACTTGGAGCAATTCAGGGATGGGTGACCTCCTGGGAAGTTTTCCCGGGAAATGTGCAAGTGAGGACAAAGCACGCTGAAAAGTCTCGTATTAGTGTGGGGACAGTCGTTGATCCTTGCAAGTTGCCAGGCGTTACAGGGGGGAGGAGGCTCTGGGCCCAAAGTGGTTTTCTATAAAGACAAGCTTCTGAAGCTTAATGGAAATGGGGGCCAAGCGGAAGAAGAGGAAGATTGGAACTCAAAACAGAAAAGGGAGGAGGAGGAAGCTGACTTGTTGGAGGGTTTGGGTCAGGCTAGGGACGATGATCCCCTCTGTCCGAGGTACACCTTTTCTATTGAGGAGCATAAGAAAGATTGCGAGCAGTGGAGGAAGGCCCTGATCATCAAGATTATGGGCAAACGCATTGGAATGAGGTTTCTCATGGCCAGACTCCAGAGGATCTGGAACCTGGTAAGCACGTATGAAGTAATTGACCTTGATAATGGGTTTCTGTTGTTGAGATTCCAGGATGATGGTGATTATCGCCATGTTTTTGAAGAAGGGCCATGGATTGTTAATGACCACTATGTGGTTGTCCAAAGGTGGAGGCCCTTCTTCGATCCTTATGATGAGAGTGTTACCAAGCTGGCTGTGTGGGTGAGAATCTCAGGTCTTCCTATAGAATTGTATACGGTGCGTCATCTGTGGCGTATAGGAAATATATTTGGTCGCATACTGAAAGTGGATAGAAATTCGTTGAGGAAGAGTGAGTATGGAGATGCAGTTATTACTGAACGGGCTAGATTTGCCATAATTTGCATTGAGGTTGACTTGAGGATGAGTTTACTATCAAAATTTACGATAGGAAAAAAGGTTTACCAAGCTGGCTATGAAGGATTACATCTAATATGCTTTAACTGTAGGATGTATGGCCACAGAAAGGACCTTTTCCCTGCTGCCCAGGCTCCTTGTGCTCTACAGGTTGAGGGTAATTCAGGACTGGAGACGAAACTAAACAGTGCTATTGGGAAGGAAGCTAAGGAGGTTGATCCAGAGGAGGCTTTTGGGAGCTGGATGGTGGTTCATAGAAAATCTAGAAGTAGGAGGCTGAAGGCTAGGCCTGCTAGTCCGAAGAAGGAAGTTGTGTTGGATCAGAAATCCAAGTCTAACCTTGTAATCCCAAGTTCTTGTGTAAAGACTAATAATCCTGGTGGGGATAGCAGGAATGATGGATTGGCTGATCAATCTGATAATTCTCCTTCTGGTGTGGTCTTGGAAGTAAATGGAAAAAAGGAAGAGTTGGAGAGCAAGAGTGATGGAGGAGGTGGAAATGAGAGGAAATTAAAAGAACAAGCCTCGAGTAGTCAAAGTGTAGGACTGGAGAAACAGAAAAAAAGGAGGAGGAAAAGCTGGAATTCCCAAAGGAATTGGTGTTTTAACTTCAGGGGTACAGAGAGTGAAAACCAACTCCAAAGGGATAGGCAGCAAGAATCTTCCGTCTGAGAACCAGCCCCCCAATTCTTTAGTTGTGGGATCTCAGAAGTTGACCAGTAGAAACAAAGGTTCAGAAGGGGGAGTGTTGCAGCCTATGCACGAGTTCCATAGCAATGTGCCTGGGAAAAGCAAAGGAGATGGGTCTATGAACCTGGTGAAGAGTGGAATCTCTATACAGAATGAGATGGAGTGTGACCAGGCTAATGCAGCCGTGGGAGGAGGCAGAAATCACACCAATAGCTCTTGAGCCAGCCTTTAAGGTTGAGGTATTTTTATTGTATATAGTTTTCTTTATGAATATTTGCTCTTGGAACTGTAGAGGAGTAAGGAAGAGAGAATTCCCTGCTCTGATTAGAGACATTAAATATAAGTTTAATATTAAAGTGCTGGTCTTACTGGAGACTAAGATTCAGGGTGACAAAGGGGATACAATTATAAAAAAATTGGGATTCCCTAAGTTTTTCAAACAAGAAGTTGTTGGCTTTTCTGGAGGAATTTGGGTTCTGTGGGATAGCAGAGATGTTGAGTGTAACACCCGACCGCTTCAAGAATCAATGACTATCCCCACATACTAACACGAGACTTTTCAGTGTGCTTTTTCCTCACTCGCACACTTCCCGAGAAAACTTCTCAGGAGGTCACCCATCCCAGAATTGCTCCAAGTCAAGCACGCTTAACTATGGAGTTCTTCCGTTCCGGGCTACCGAAAAGAAGATGCATCTTGTTAGCACAGGTAGTACCAATTAATTCTTATAAGCTATCCCAAATTGTGCAGTCTCACACCTGCACAGTCTTTGGAATCTCTCTCTTTCGGGTGTCGCTTCGAATCATTCATGCATGTAACCCCTCACTGGAAGCCTGCCAGGAGCCGCTCCTTGTCCATGCCCTTTCGCACCGGCAATCACTCCCCGCCCTCGTCAGCGCTCGGGATGTTACATGCCCATCAGCTTCCGCCTGGTTCGTCCTCGAACCACACCGTACTAGAAGAGAGGCCTGCTCTGATACCACTTGTAGCGCCAGCCTGCCAGGAGCCGCTCCTTGTCCATGCCCTTTCGCACCGGCGATCACTCCCCGCCCTCGTCAGCGCTCGGGATGTTACATGCACACCAGCTTCCGCCTGGTTCGTCCTCGAACCACACCGTACTGGAAGAGAGGCCTACTCTGATACCACTTGTAACGCCCGGCCGTTTCAAGAATCAACGACTATCCCCACATACTAACACGAGACTTTTCAGTGTGCTTTTTCCTCACTCGCACACTTCCCGAGAAAACTTCGCAAGAGGTCACCCATCCCAGAATTGCTCCAAGTCAAGCACGCTTAACTGTGGAGTTCTTCCGATCCGGGCTACCAAAAAGTAGATGCATCTTGTTAGCATAGGTAGTACCAATTAATTCTTATAAGCTATCCCAAACTGTGCAGTCTTATACCTGCACAGCCTTTAGAATCCCTCTCTTTCGGGTGTCGATTCGATTCACTCATGCATGTAATCCCCCGCTGGAAGCCTGTCAGTAGCCGCTCCTTGTCCATGCCCTTTCGCACCGGTGATCACTCCCCGCCCTCGTCAGCGCTCGGGATGTTACATGCCTACCAGCTTCCGCCTGGTTCGTCCTCGAACCACACCGTATTGGATGAGAGGCCCTACTCTGATACCACTTGTAACGCCCGGCCACTTCAAGAATCAATGAATATCCCCACATACTAACATGAGACTTTTCAGTGTACTTTTTTCTCACTCGTACACTTCCTGGGAAGTTTTCCCAGGAAGTGTGCCAGTGAGGAAAAAGCACACTGAAAAGTCTCGTATTAGTATGTGGGGATAGTCGTTGATTCCTGAAGCGGCCGGGCGTTACATTGAGGTGGAGATTATTCAATCCCACCATCAATATGTTCATACTAGGATTCACTTTATTGAAGATAAAAGGTGGGAGTTAGTTACCTTTGTCTATGGGAGTCCTAGAAGGATTGAAAGAATGAGCTTATGGGAGGAATTGGAGTTTCTGGCTGGTTCAATTAATTCTCCCTGGGTCATCTTGGGGGATTTTAATTATGTCCTAAATGTTGCTGAGAAGTATGAAGGTGAAGAGGTTTGTTATAGAAGTGTTCAGGAGATGCAGGAGTGCCTGGAGGTTTGTGGGTTGTCAGATATAGGGTATAAAGGGCCAATATTCACTTGGAAAAGGGGAAGCTTACAAGAAAGAATTGATAGGGCTGTAGCTAATGAGGATTGGAATCTTGCCTTGCCAAACAGAGTGTTAGGGCATCTTTCTTTTTTCAATTCGGAACACAGGCCAATCCTTCTAAGCTGTTATAAAGATTTTCATGAGAATAAGCATGTGAAACAGTTCAAATTTTTAGCAGTTTGGCTCACAAATGCTGACTTTGGGAATTTGATTTAGAAGTGTTGGGGAAAAGATGTGGATTGGTTAGTTTCTAGTAAAGACTTTGAGGAGGAGGCAACTAGATGGCATCATGATATTTTTAGGGAGGAAATGAGACAGAAACACATAATTTATGCTAGAATTCAAGGCCTGGACATGCAATTAGAAGCCAGATATGACAGGGAGCTTGAGAGGTTGCAGAGAGATCTTTGGAAAAAGTTGGAGAAAATTTTGTTAAGGGAGGAGCTAAATTGGTTCCAAAGGTCTAGAATCAATTGGCTGAAATTTGGGGATAAAAATTCTCAGTTTTTTCATTCCTCTACTGTTGCCAGAAGAAGATTCAACAAAGTGGTTGCAATCAGGAATGAGGTTGGAGATTGGACATCAGATATAAAGGAGATGGTGGAGATAGCAGTGAAGTACTTTGAGAAGTTATCTCTAGCTGAAGGGGATGGGTATGAGTAGTTCCCTGTAAAAGGAATCTTTCCAAAGGTGGAGGGTTTAGAGAGGGACAAACTAGCCATAATTCCTGAAGCTGAAGAAATTAGAAGAATGGTGTTTAAATTGGGCAGATTCAAGGCCCCAGGACCAGATGGACTGCATGTAGCTTTTTTCCAAACCCAATGGCATACAATTGGTGAATCAGTCTGTGAGTTGGTCAAGAGTATCTTTGAGGATTCAACTAAGGTGCATTCAATCAATAAAACGCATCTCTGTTTGATTCCCAAAAAGGATAATCCTGAGTGTATGAAAGAGTTTAGACCCATAAGCTTATGCAATGTTACTTATAAAATTGTAACCAAGTTGATTGCTGAGAGATTGAGAAGTTGGATGCCTAATTGGGTTACCCCTAACCAGTGTGCTTTTGTAAAAGGAAGACAAAGTGCAGACAATATTATAGTGGCTCAGGAGATTATACATTCGATGAGAAGGAGGAAAGGGAATAAAGGGTGGATGATGATTAAAGTAGATTTGGATAAAGCCTATGATAGGCTTAGTTGGGAGTTCATCCATGAGACAATTCAAGACATGGGGCTGCCAAATGATTTGATTTCCTTAATTGACAAGTGTGTCAAAACCAGTGAGCTCAATATGTTGTGGAATGGGCCACCTACCAGGTATTTTAAACCTTCTTGTGGAATCAGACAAGGGGATCCCTTATCCCCTTATCTCTTTCTACTTTGCATGGAAATACTTGCTCACTTAATCCAAATAGCCATTGAGGTTAATGCCTGGAAGCCAGTTACTCTTGGGAAGAAGGGGCCTCCTATATCCCACTTATTTTTTGCTGATCATATTATATTATGTGCTGAAGCTTTTCTTGACCAGGCCCATATTATCAATCAGGTTCTTAAAGTGTTTACAATGAGTTCTGGCCAGAGAGTTAGTATGGATGAAACAAGAGTTTTTCTCTCAAAGAATGTGGGCTTTGGTAGAGCTAAGGAGATCAGTGAGTGCTTAGGAATTGGAATTACTCCTGATTTGGGAAAATACTTGGGAGTAATGTTGAATCATTCTAGAGTCAATAAAGCTTCCTTTGGGCGTTTTTTGGATCGGGTGAAAAACAGATTAAATGCTTGGAATGCTAAGTCCCTATCTCTAGCTGGGAGACTAACATTGGCAAAATCTGTGCTGTTTGCTATGCCTTCTTATGCTATGCAAACTGCCAGGTTACCAAAAAATGTGTGTGATGATATTGAAAAGCTTACTCGTGGTTTCATTTGGGGTTCATCTAAAGACAAGAGAAGTGTCCATCTGGTTAAATGGGACATAATGTGCTCTTCTAAACAGTATGGTGGTGTTGGGTTGAGAGATTTGAGATCCTTTAATCAGACTTTCATCATGAAGGTGAGATATGGTCTTCTGGTGAATAAAGATGCCTTATGGGAAAAAGTTCTGAGAAGTAAATACAAGATGGAGGATGAGTTTTTACCTCAAGCTTCAAAACATGTTAATGCTAGTAATATTTGGAGGGATATCTGTTCATCCTAGAACTCTATTGTAGCAAGGTCTAAAATTGTGATTTGAGATAGTAGGAAAGTTAAATTCTGGAATGATAGCTGGATCCCTGGTATAGGGAAGTTGTGTGAGAAAGCTGTCATGCCTATTCCTGATGATATCAACTCATGGGAAGTGGCCTACTGTGTGAATCAAGATGGGGAGTGGGATTGGGACAAGTTCAAGTTGTTTCTGCCTGAAGATATTTGTGAAATTATAGCCAAGGTTGAGCCTCCAAATGTAATATCCCATATTTTTATTAACTTTAACCTTATGCTTTTAGTTTAATTGAGAAGCTCAAACTTTTAAGTTTCGAGGACGAAACTTCTTTTAAGGAGGGTAGAATGTAATACCCCATATTTTTATTATTAATAATAATAATAATAATAATAATATAATAATAAATATTTTTGGATAATAATGATATTTATTATTTTTGTAATTAATAATATTGGTATTTAATATTTTTAATTAATGAGTTAATAATAGTTAAAATAATAAGAGGTAAGATAATAATAGTAATATTATTTGATTTATGTGATAATATATAATATATATATATATATATATATATATATTAGATGATAAATTATGATTAATTGATTTATTAATTGATTGATGATTTATGTATTTATGTTTGATTAATAATGATTGATTAATAATGATTGATTGAAAATGTTCGATTGGTAATGTTCGATTGGTAATGATTGATTGGTAATTTGATTAGATATGATGAGTCAATAATGAGTCAGCCTTGAGTTAGCAAATAAGTTAGCTGTAATCTGAGCCATAAGAAATTAATAATAAAATAGTGTAAGAAGCCCATATCTGAGTCAGATAAATCAATAAAGAAAAAAGGAAATAAATGCACGAAACCCATATCCGAGCCCAAAACTTCAACTATAAATAGAGGCCTAGCCTAAACAAACTAATTCACTCTCCAACATTTCTCCTCTACTACTCTATCTCCTTACTTCAAAAGTTTATTTGTTTTATTTTCTATATTCTTTTGGTTACCAACCGGTTCTCTGCCCCAATTTATTTTCTTCTAGAAGTTAGCAAAAACGGAGACTAGGTAATCCTAATCTTTAGGTAGATATATGTTTGATATGTGTAATCCTAATCCTTAGGTATTTTTAGATTATATTTATTTTATGTGAAATTTGGTATGTGTAATCCTAATCCTTAGGTTATAATTTTGTTTGAAGTTTATTAATAGTAATCCTAATCCCCAGATGTTTGTAGGTTATCTGTATTATATGAAATTTGGGCATGATCCTTATATGTAATCCGTATATGTTCTTAATAGTTTGGTATGAACATTTCTATATATATAGGTATTTGTTTTTTTTAAATTTAAATTACTACATATGATAATTAGAATATGGATACAAGTTGGAATGAAAGAGAATTCTGAATCAGCTTGCAATATATGATATGAACTTTTATTTTAGAAATTATGATTATGTGCAATATATGATATAAAATGTTATTATTTTAGAAATTATAATTATGTGCAATGTATGGTATAAGACTTAATTCAGGTGCAATATATGGATCTTATTGAATAATTATGAAAATTATGGAATTATAATACTCTTTAAGAAAAACTTTCCAAATATGTGTTTTAATGATTGAATTTGAATATTTATAACTATGATAATTGATGTGATGGGATTATTTGAATGACGATGATTGGATTTGAATTTTTCTATGATGAATGTTGCAGATTTGAATTATTATATCCTTGAATAAATTTGAAAGTTATGATGAGGATCGGATTTGGATTTTACTGTGATGAATGTTGAAGATTTGAATTATTATATCCTTGAACAAATTGGAAAGTTATGATGAGGATCAGATTTGGATTTTATTGTGATGAATGTTGAAGATTTGGATTATTATATCCTTGAATAAATTGGAAAGTTATGATGAGGATCGGATTTGGATTTTACTGTTATGAATGTTGAAGATTTGAATTGTTATATAAATTCGAGAATTTATGATAATAGTTGTTTGAATTATGATACTTTGGAAGATTATAATGCCCTTGAGTAACTCATTTAGAGATGATAATACTTAAAGAATAAATAATTATGATTGAATCTTTCCTGATTGTGTGTGTTTGTAATAAATTAATGGTGGAGGATAGCTTTGGGATGGTACCTTCCAAAGTGATGAACACAACTTTTGGGCTTTATGCCTCCGATGTGAAATTGATGTGAAAAAGATTGTATCCGTTCTTCCCAAAGTGGTATCTGGTAACAGTGGTTTTTTCCCGGGATACTAGTAGCAACTTTGGGAAGAGGTGTGCACACTAGGAAGATGTGAATTGATTATGGCCAATTTTGATTATACGTGGCTGGTAACAGTGGTTTTTTCCCGGGTCACGGGGTAGACTGGCAGGGTTTCCCGGGTCTACCATGGTTCTCTTCCCACTAAATATAATGAACTTAAACATTATTAATGAAAATTGTTATTTGATTTGATTATGAAGAATGTCATTGAGTTGTGAATATTATCATATTATGATTAATGTTGTGCTAAATATGTTAGTTGACAATTACCCTTATACACTAAATGGACTAAATAATCTTAAACATGATTAATAATGATATTAATACTTGATTTGAGTTATGATTAAATGACTTATTTGAATTATTGCTTGATTTATGATTAAATTTCTTATTTGAATTATTACTTGATTATGATTAAATGACATATTTGAATATTGCTTGAGTTATGAATAAATGACATATTCGAAATATTAATTGAGTTGATTATGTTGATTATTCTTAAATAAATGTCTTGATTGATATTGGGTTATATTATCCTCGTTTTGTATCTTGATTGGGATTACCAGCTTTGCTGACTTTTGTGTTTGTTTGACTGCAATGATCCTGCGGCTGCGGGGGAGCAGATTTTCAGTGAAGTATGTTGCAAAGGATGGGGCTAGCTGTGGGCAGTGAGGATCACGACTCGGATATTTCTAGCTGTCATAAATATTATGTATAAAAAAAAAAACTGTAGTCTTAGATTTTTATTTGAATGTAATAGAGTTAGCCTTGCACTTGTCCCTGTACAAGTGCGGCGGTAACACTTCCCAAATTTGATTATTTTGAACTTCCGCTGTTATTTATAAAATTATTGAATTTATTTATGCTATTATAAATTGTTAGAAATTTGGGGTGTTACAAAATGGTATCAGAGCCCCTGGTTCGGCTTGGGGTTTGCTTTTGATACTGACTTGAAGGATCAAAGATCCCTAAGTTAAATAAATAAATACAAAAAAATATATATATAATAAAAAAAATAGGAAATAAAATAATAGAACATAAGATAAATAAATAAATCGAGAGAGCTGGGTAGTGAAGGGTTATTTTTCTTGTCCTTTAAAAATGATTTATTTCTTTGAACTTTTGATGATTATATGTTTGGAATTATTTTGTGATTTATAATTATTATTG